TTGGCGGTAGTCTTATTTGCAGCAAAATCTGTATTGTCGAAAATTGCTAAATTTTAACACTTCAAAATTACGAAACTGAACATAGTTTTTGCCTAAAACAAATTCTGATCTAAACGGTCAGTTCTTTTAAAAAGGTCAATTTATAAGTGAAATTAATGTAATTTTCTCGAAAACCACTCCAGTTGTCGCTTGTCTGATTTTCGTTGAACTCTCAGAATTTTCGAAAATTATAAATTTAGAAATAAATCCGAGAAAATATGAGCTATTATAGTACCACTCGTTCAGTCTATCCTTCCTATTGAGTCTATCAAGACCCAATTCCACATTATTGTTCATCCGGGTGAATATTTTGTCATCTCTAATGTCAAAAATTGAAAACTTTTACCTATTTTATCACTGCTCTTGAAGCTAAGTTATGAATCTTAAAAATCGTTATATGTACCTAATTTAAGAACTACGCTCATCTTGTTTTAATGAAGATTGCACATCATTATCAATATGAAAGTATTTTAGTATAGTAGTTCTCCAACTTTTCCTCTTCTTTTCATTAGCGGATTCACTCATTTTCGTTTTTCTTTCTACGCACCGATTCACTCAATATACAACAGCTGTCTCCGAACAACTTACAACTTTTACTTCAAGATGTCGCTTCAAGCGTTGCTTGTCTGCCCAATGCACAACAGTCTCGTTGCACGTGGCTGCCTAGCGCGAATTTCTAATCTGTTGCTTGGTGAAATATGTTAAAAATCCTGGGACCTACTCAAGTCGTCTTCGCACTCCTAGAGAACTTGGATAATCAGCAAATGTGAAAAATAGTGACTGCCCTTGGCAATGTTGGGGAATTTTAAAACACACAGAAAAATATTTAAGAAATGATAGAAGTGTGATACAAAAATAATTTTATTTTTTAAATTTTTAATTTTTTTTCTTTAGATGCATGATTGAATCCAGAAATTTAAATGCACGAATTGTAGTAATTAGCATTACAAATTGTACAACATTTGCCTTTTCTTATTATTAAGTGACAGCTAATTTTTTTCATTTCATTCAACTTAATAGGTTATTCAGAATACAGACTTCAAAATTATCTACTTTTTGTGAAATTAACTGAAATAAAATGTGTTCTTCCTTATTGTTTTTTGTCCTCATCATACCAAATTATGGGCAAGCATTAAAAAAATAGGTTAAAAAGTTAGGAAAACTCGAAATTTCAGAGCGAGAAAGGCCAGAAAAGTGAAGATATTTAATAGCTTTTAACACGCAAAAGCTCAGTCTCCTGTTTTGGTACGCTATGTGCACCGAGGGCCCTGAGCGGAACGCGTCCATCCTCTGGCTTCGCATTTTGAAAGCGGCGGCAAGCGCATTAACGCCGGCATCTGATCTCGGCCGGCGTTGCCACCTCGGCAAAGCGGAAGGTAGGCAGACGGGCAAACCGACAGACCGTCTGCATCACGTATTAAACAGATCTGGATCCCACCACAACTTCACTGCGCGGGATTTGCTTCACAAACTATATGCTGGACCCGAGTACGCCGACTGCGTACCGGTTCACAACTCTGTACGCCGTGCTCGCGAGTTTGGCTTAGGTAAAACTGTCGCAAACGCATTGTTTCCCATTGTGAAAACACTGAAACAAAGTGGAATACGACAGATTTACGACCGGAGCCGGCAGTCTCGTCGTCAAGCAAGGCGTTCCCGTGGATGTACAACTTCGAACAGTCCCCTTAGCTACGTCAGGGTACGTGTTTACATTATCAAGTCCCCCAAATAAATGGACCATGGAGTTAATTTATTTTGATAATGATGATTTGTTGAAACTAAGACTCGGGCATTTGAATGCGTGTCAATTGGCTTAGCACTGTCGTGGGCTCTAAGGGCTCAATGGGACCGCGCGTGAGCTCCCAGCGTTATCGAATAATTTTGGTTCCCATATTCGGCTCCAGGAAACGACACAGTAATCTCACTGATATTGATAACTTGCGTCGTTCCCTCACTGAGAACCTGTGGGATCTGATAAGGTGGGAATTGTCGTGGAAATTTAATGTTATCGGACATCTGTCATTATTAGATTACATGTCAAAAGTGCGATAGGACACGCTGTGGATTTCCCGCATTTCTGTCCATAATTGGCCTTACAATTTTGGTAATTAATGAATAAATGTATGCTCAAAGTCCCTGCACAAAAATACTCCCAAACACTGCACACTCACAAAAATACGTGATCTTTTGAAGTTAGGTATACAAATTGTGATGTTTACAGCTTCAACTTCTGTGATGTATCTCGGAAGTGTATTCAGTAATTACGAAAAAATGCATGGTAACTCTGGGGGAGACAGTAACATGATGAATTTGTATCTCTTTTGCTAGTTCATATTGTTAATAACAGTTCGGGTATGTTTAGGAATACAAGTAAACAATAATTAGATGACATATAATTGTCATTTGTGACTTCGAGTAGCAGGAAGTATTGTGTACGAGGGGCGGTCGGTCGTATTTTTTACATTTGAAAAATAATGTTTTACCAATTCATTTATTACGATGAATTTGTTACAAAAAATTTCCATATTTTTAAATATAGAATGTCTAATTAATATTTAATAATTTTTAACTTTTAAAACGTAAATAAAAAACTAAGTAATTATTACTAAATAGATTGCCGAGGTATCGGAAGAAGCTTACATACTTAGTACGAATTGTTCGAGTACTGAAGCCAGAGTGTATGATGTTTATAACAGAGTTTTTGTGTATTCTGTTCATATTTTAGTTTCAATATGATAAACTTTGAACTACTAATGGACCAGGAGTCCTTGTATATATAATTGCCACATATAGAGTCAACCATCGTTAAATGAAGTATTCAACATGTGTCGCTTTTAAATGAAAGTGGTACTTAATTAAACTTGATATGCTTTCAGTTTAAAATTAACTCTCAGCTGATAACTCTTGTGGCAGTAGCAGTTTCTTCGTCATAAAAAGCTACTCAGTGCTGTTCGTTCTCTGGACTTCTATTCGACTTCTAATGTATTTTTTAGAATGAGTGTCCGTAATAGTTCGGGGTGGAGCGTTTCCATAATTTTGGTCGGATCTGGCAACATTGAACAAAGACCATAGATAAAGAAATGCAATATGACAATTTGAAGGATGTACTTCTATAAGTATCTCTCAGCAATCCAGTCGCGCTCACCGCTTTTGAGATAGACGTTTTGCAAGTTAGAGTAGTATCATTGATACTGTACAATTCCCTTGTTCAATTTTACATACAATAATACAGATTAAACAAGATTTTTTTAAATTGTGTTGAGCTCCCCATATGAAATGGTATCTGAATTTCTTTGCGGACCCTTAAAATACCTCGCGGACCTTCGGTTGCCACTCGCCTGGTTAAGGAATATTTTGGCGCCCGAATGTACCTGGTGGAGCCGATTGGACCGATAACTGTCTGTCCGTCCCTCAAATGCAAGACATTTATCCTCAAACAGACGTTAAATCGTGAGAGAAATTACGTCACACTGAAACATGCATAAAGCACACCTATATCCCGAAGTATTTTTACTTGTTTACTTCTCACTGCCAAAAACAATGCTTCATTATTCCTTTGTTCTCGTTATCTCACTGCATGTTCATAAGTGTGAAAATTCCTATTGCTACTGCACTAAAGCTGGCCAGAATATTCAGGATAAGAAAGGTTCACTTATTCAATGAAACTATGCAGGGTTATGTGTTTTTCGACGACGAAAATTAGTGTAGCTTAACCTTTTAATGTCATCAGTTCAGGAAAGCTGACAAAACAATTAACAATGTATAGTTCGCCTACCCGGACCATCAGCCATCTGGGTACACTCATTTCCGTAATAGCCCCAAAGGTAATTGGTAATCTCCGTCTTGCATGCACATCCCGTTTGATTTGAATAAAGGCATATGTCTGCCTGTGATTTAGCGACACCCGGTAAGCAAAAGGGAAGAATCTATTGCATATTGCTAGTATGACGAGATATCTCACTGATGTGAATCGTGAGAAAGATCAAATTACTACTATACTGATTATAATTATGCGTTGTGACTCTGGGGGAATGATGAGAGAAACTATAAGCATTATATGTACACATATATTAAGTTATGCGTCTGACGTGCAAATTAATTTAATTTTGAAAGTCTGAATTACAGCCTGAGCTACAAGACTGTTGTTAATAGTAACATTTTTACACAAAGAAGGCTTTTGACAAGTCAGTAAAATAGTAATAATTCTGCGAAGTAGTAAATGTAAAAATAAACATTAAATAACAAGAAAACAGAAATGTGAACGTGCGCTATATCCAATCTTAAAACTTGGGACGGGAAAAAGAGCTCGGATATTTAAGATTAGAGCTAAAGAAGGTCAAGGGGCGTTGTAGATAAGAAGGAATGCAAAAGGAAAACTATATCAATATTGGAAGAAAGATAATTGATGATGGCAGGGGTCAAGCAGAAGAAAGAACGTTTTCTGTGACAGGCGATGTTTGAGGGAATAGAAGAGTATGTTGAGGCAAAGTGGTTGGAAGATTTTAAATGATTGTTGTTCATGGTTGTGTGAAAGAGGGTGAAGTCGTATTTAATTGAGGATATGTAAGATTTTGACATGGGGCTGCGTAAGTGTTACGGTATATTTGTCGCCGCGCCGTAGACGTGAAAAAGGCAATTCGCGAGATAGCTTTGTCAACTGCACCGCTAATGTAAAATTCTACGTTTCCCTGTTCCCCTCTTCCACTCTTAGTTCACGTATCGTCTATGCAGCACACGCATTTCATGCATCATTCACCCGCGTAATAATAGCTAATAAAAGCAGAAGGTTTACTAGCCCTTTCCTCGTTTACGAGGCTGCGCCCAAAGGTGGGCCGGCCGTGTGTTGGACGTCCGCGTCGGGGCAACTGCGCGCGCTTGCGCCTGCGCCTGCGCGAGCGGCGGGCCGGCCGACCGGCCGGCCGCTTGACGCTGAGCGAGCGCCGCGACGCCGTGTGTTGCAGACGATGGGCTCCCTTCGCCAGCTTTTGTGCTGCGGCGGCCGCTGAGCGTCGCGACGCTGGACTGCGCGCCGGCCGCCTGCGCCGGCCCCGGCCCCGCGGCCGGCCTGCCGCCTCCGGCCGTCGCCCCCGGCGCGGAGACAGCGGCGGCGGCCGGGGCCGAGGCCGCCACCCCCCGCCCCGCCCCCAGCCCCGCCTCCGTGGAGCACGTGCCGCCGCCGCCGCAGCCGCCGTCGGTGGCGTCCGCGCCGGCGTTGGCGCCGCCGCCGTCCGCGCCGCCACCCTGCGCTGCGCCTACCACGTCGTCGTCGAGTCCGCGGGGGCGGGGCCCGGCCGGCGCGCCGTCGTCGACGACTCCGCCGAGGACCACGGCGAGGTGATCGTGGTGAGTGCTGCGCCTGTGCTCACCGGCCTAATGCAGTGCGTGATTGGTTTACGAACGGAATTCCTGTTAAGACAATGCTTGCTACGCTTGTTTGTTGGCCCAACATTGATTTAACACAAATTTGTATGGAAAATTAATTTTGTTCCGAAGACACCTCCCAAAAGCGAAGAGTAAGGAGTTCAAAGTTGTTTTATCTTTTTTTTCATTTTATGGTCCATTAAGAAACATACCCAATGTCAATTACTGACCTCTCTTCAAGATTTATCGGAAGTGATTTATTGTGAATAGGTCAAAGTTTCGTTGTAGAAACGTCATAAATGGCTGCCTCATTCTACAAATCTTATAAACTTAATCAATTCTGTGTTTGTTCCTTTGCCGAACGTACAATTCATTCGCAAAAAAACCGCTAAGTATCAGATTCGTTCTGTACATTTACCAATCACTGAAACTCTAATCTTCTGAGTGGACCCAGTTGTATGCATGTATGTTACATAATACACCAAGAAAATGAATTGTTTTTGCGTGATTGTCTTCCTGAAGGTGATCCCATATCGATGCGGTACAGTGAATGAGGATCTTCGTATATATTCGTTTGGAGCATCGAAATGTTTGAAGTCGTGTCATTGAAGTTATAAAAACGTATAAAGTTGATTTAGGTACAAGAAAATCAAAGATTAACAGCCAGTATTCAAGGCCAGGATTCAGTATTTAAGTTTTACTACATTGTTTTAAAAGATAAGCTTCATTGACGTTTCAAGAGAAATGGTTCAAAAACTACAGAGCGAAAGATCCACGATACCCGAGGTATCCACAGAAACCTCTTCAGCTATGTAATAAACTTCCGTCGTTGCAGAATATCGCACGAATTGTCGAAAGATTTTTTACAGTTTACAAGACAGTGATAAGATATAGTGACAAGATAGGGTAGAGGTACTGTATTTATTGGGTAGTCGTTTTATTCTCTCGTGAATAGGCCGACTTGAACCACGCACCCTGCCCACCGGAGCTCAGATACTTTTATCTCTGTGGCAAATGCATGTATTTTTTATCAGGGGATTAGTATTTAGCTGGATCTGATTTTTATTCGCCAGGGTTGTTAGCCCTGGGGGTATGGAAGATGAAATGATGATTATAGTGAGGGGTGTGAGAACGACACACGTATGCAGACATACACAGGTACTCGAATCCGCGATCTTCTAGTCCGAGACCGCCACGGCAGTGCTGCCTTAGCGATGTCGGCGATCTGATCGGCTGTTGGGTAGTCGATTATAAATATTTGTCATAAATGTTGCAAGTGGCTGGGCTGAAGTACGAAAGCTTTTAAAAAGCCTACACCCTAATTTTTAATGCATCGCCTCCTGATGTTCACCTTCAGCATACGCCGAGGAAGAGAGGCCGTATGGCATGCGAGAGATATAGCATGGGGAGTAAGGAGAACTTATCGTCGCGAGACAAATACATTGAAGCCTAAACTCTGCTCCATGGGAGGGGCGACGTTTCTTATTACTTAGGGCGTACTTATTTCACATTATCTCGGTCCATAACTTCGTAAAACGTACAGTAAATTATTAGTACGGTTATTAACGTCATCAGGTCGTTAGAGAGCAAATAATGATTGGTTATAAAACTCAGCTATCGCCCGGTTTACTGACTTCAGCAACGTCCGTGATTTGTGATATCGGCTGTATGTCGTTCAGTAGTTTCGTAATACTGCGTTCTTATAAGAAAAACTAGTGCCGCTACATCAGCACATAATTTCTCGGATTACTTCTAATGGCTACGTAATTATCTCAATATTTTAATTTTACATTAACTTGTGAAAGTGATTCTAACCAGCAAAAGTGTTTTCTCCGCGTTGGGATTCGAACTAAGGTTTTCAATGTCACCACGCAATTCACGTTAACCACCAGCTACACTGCTAAACTCAACCTTCTGGACACTGTAAAAAAATATATGAAGATTTGCATTTCCAAAAATTGAGAGATATTCATTTACATTCTTTCAAGATCTAGTTTTAAAGAACATATTTCATTAAAAATTGTCTGGCATCGTGTTATTACTTTTACAATCATATTGTATTGTGTTTTCGAAAATGTAGAGAGTTCGTCGAAAATGAAACCAGCCCTTACCGGGCCTATTTTTCTTATAAAATAAGTTTGAATTAGTACAGGTTCTTACAAAAACACTGGCCGTAGGTTTTATTAAGTTATTGTAAAAGTTACTCGATCAAAGCATACTTTTTTATTAAAATTATAGTAAGTGTTTTGAAGAAACCGATAATAATAAATATAATGAACCTCAACGTGATTTCTAAGGTGTAATTGATTTTAAAAAATACTACGAAATTCATTGCAACTGGAAGTAGCTTTTGACCTATGAGTTACACTGCATAAACCATGCTATTGCCAGCACAGTTTCTTCTTACAATTGAAAACAGCGCTAACTTAAAATTTTGTATCACTCTCACCACAAACTAGGTGACGATAATTCACCTTCGATGTAAACAATGTGGTTGATGTTCCACGCGAAAAAAGGATAGTGCGACAGCCGAAGGTAACCTAACGTATGTTAAGTACTGCCAACTTATGAAAATGAAAAATTATACGCGAGACTAATTTGGATATTAAACATTCATTTTAGAGAGCGATAATTCCCTTTTAAAAATTTACAAATAATTATTTAAATTCTCCATATGTACAAGCAGGTTGTTAATCTATAGATGTAATAAATGGTTGAGTTGTTGGCTAGCGACTGGCACGAAATTCTACTGTCATGAAATCATTTGGAGACGTGAATTTTGAGAAAATAATTGTTTCAAAATTGCTTGTAATTTTGCAAATTGTAAAAGTTAATAACGCAAGGAAATATGTGTATTGGCACCACTAATTTTAAATAGGAGAACTGATGCACCATCTCCAACTGGAACTCATTGGTTTCCTTTGCCTTTAACTGTTGAAATCTCAACGGATGTCGGCAGTTGGACATTTCTGTTCTTCTGCTTGGTGCGTTGTATGGAACAGTACATTATTACGAAAAACAATGATCGCATCAGATATTCGCTGTTGACCCTGTTTCTATGCGTCAAAAACATTAAAACTGTTAAAATTGCAACGTGAATGCCTTAACATCTTTATTGACGACTGTACATTTGGAATAACCATCCCTTGTCGATGAGCAACCTGTCCGTGTTGTTCTGATGTCACCGAACTTTCGGTGTCAGTGACAGTTGATGCTATCGCAGTACGACTGCGCCACACACGTAGGGCGTTTATCGCATGTCGACGTGACGTTTGGCCAGTTGCTTAGCGCCGTGAAGCCTTGCCCGGAGCCTTGTCCACGCTCAGACCTCGAAGTGACAGACGGCTCCCGTACGGCGCGAGAAACGATCCCCGACCCCAAGGACGCTTTCTCCGCGGAACATCTGTATTGTCTGGTCAGCCATGTAAGCGATTTATTGACACTCGCTAATGCCTAACCAAAGTGGGAGGCATGGTTGGTGAGTATTGCGTAGAAATGATTCGAATTCATTATACTGATGTTGGCTAACGCGTGCACATTCCCATGTTAATTCTACTTGATTTGTATCAAATCTTACATTATTATTTTAGTGACGATATCAGAACAATATAATTCACTCGTGAAAATCACACCTAGCACCGAACTCACATTTCGAGGCATTAACAACTTTCACTCCGCTCATCTGGCTGGCAGTGGAATGCATTTCGTAGAGCGCTGCGGTCTTCGACGGTACTCAACTGCTTTAGAACCTGACAAAGAAAATCGGCCACTGGCCTGAACAAAGCATAACCCAGAGATAAATGGAAATAAATGCAAAAATGTGCCGGGAGGCTAAGGCCCCGGCCGTTCGTTGGCGCTCTGCTTCCCGCGCGGCGGAGAGCGTCTGCGAGAACAGCGTGCTGGCCGAGGCGCTGCGGGTCGCTTTCCGCCACATTCGTCATTGGAAGTTTCACGTCGCCTTCGATCCCACCGTCTCGCACGGACGCGGTCCGTAGTGTGACATCGCTTTTGGCAACCCCGTCCCCATTTGGTGAATCGTGTAGGGCCTTTCTAATTAGATGAATCTCAGCAGGCAATGCAACTTCTAATTACTAGTAACTCGGTGACTATTTCTTCGATACCTCTATTTGTTAATTCTCCTTACTTTCCTCATTAACATACTTGTTAAATCAGACCTTGTTCGTCGCAATAACTCGCCCCTCGTTAGTCGCAGTATTTGGTAACGTGGACCACGTTAGTCGAAATACAGAAATATTATCAACCAGAACCAATAAACATTTGAACACGTTTCGAAGATTGTTCCTTTGATATAGTCTCTGAAATTAGAATTGCTAAATGTCTCCGCTTCTCATATTTAAAAAAAAATAGGTATATCATCGGTGACATATTAGAAATGTGTTCGTAGGCTTCCGCGGCCGGAGTTATTGCATACTTGGCTGCCCGGGTTGAGCCGCGTCTCATTCGATTGAGCTGACGTTTTGGCCATCTTGTTATGGCCTTCTTCAGAGCTATACTGCTGGCCGCTCTGCAGTATAAATCTGTAGAAGGCCGCAACATGATGGCCGAAACGTCAGCTCAATCGACAGAGACGCGGCTCAACCTGGACAACCTGACACAGCCGGACAACC